GTATATGTAATGAGGGACTGAAGAAAAGCAACGCAGCATCATGAGCATCACGGGAAGTCACAAACCAGGCGTATCAGATACACCTGGTTTATGTATGTTTGTTTGAGCATCTTTGTCGAGTGAAGTGTCAGCCATATGCACTGAGATGCCGAAGGAAGCTCAAAGGCACGTGTATCTGATACGCCTGGTTTCTGACTTCCCGTGATGCTCATCATTGAAGCCTTGAACCCTCGCGTAAATTTAATGTTTCATGCCCCCCCTTCCAAACTCAAACAGTGTCCTACTTCACCTGCCACCTAAACATAGCACTATAGCACGTACCGGAAGCGTCCCAGGGGGGAGTTGAACCCGCCGGGGGGGGGGGGCCCCCCTACACGTGAAGTTTTCACGTGATTCATGATTCTCGAGGCTGCGAGCCCTTGACTTGCTAAAGCAAGAGCAACTCCAGCTAGCTGATGCTAGCTTTCGTGATAAAGTACAGCAATCATCAGCAATCAAATCAATCCACTGCAAATGGGAAGTTTCTGAGGCCAGCGCATTGGAGGAGTTGTGCAAGCTGTACAATAACCTCGCACCGTGCAAAAGAGCAGCACATGCCTCCTAGTTGGGAAGCCCCTCACAACTTGAGGGGGCTTATCACATGTCTAGTTACCAGGTGGCCGCCTCTGTTCGCAAAACTAGCAGGCTGGTATAGGTTGGTCATGGGTGCCTCACCCATGATTATCGGGATTGATTGGTGTTGCAGGTAGGTCTGATGAGGCACCAGCAATGGCGGCAGTCTTGTCCTGACCCGACTTCCGGCCATTCCAATGGCCCACTCCTCGAGTCTGGACTGGGCATTTTCGGGCACACCCATCCTTTTCTGTTCAATGGGCACTGGTTGAGACAGATCAAAAAGCCCCTCACTTGCTGATGGCGCTGCCTCAGGCCCTCTTCATGGCATCCACCTCGGCTTTGACCTCCGTGCGCCTCTTGGTGAGAGGATTGGCCAGGGCTGCCACAAAGGCGGCTCCATAGATCAAGACCAATGCAATGCCACCTAGCATGGTAAAAGCAATGGAAGCTTCAAAACGGTCTTTTTCACACGTTTACACTTTGGGGCCTGGGAGGGAAGGATCCCAAGCCAAACACTCTTGCGACAAACACACTAAACTCCATGGGTCAGGGTCATGGTCATTCTCCCTTAAGGCCCTTAGGGCCTTAGGATCTTTCAACGGCTGCGCCTACCAACCAGCTCTGCAGCATGGCCACGACGCTGTCATAGGCATTGGCTGGCTGCTCCAGGGCCAAGGGGGCAAGGCCAGCGAAGGTGGCGCCCAAGACTCGTGCATCCACCTCGTGCTTCCAAGACTCGTGCTTTCAGAGGTGACGAAAAGAGAAAGGTCTTTCGTTGTTGGCACCACCAAGTCAAAACTCTTGATGGGTTGAACATCCAAACGTGCTGAAGATCCTCAACAGGATACATGGATGATATGCACCCGTTCTTTCATGATGTTGCCACCTGTGCCTACGTTGAAAGACTGAAGATAGATTCTCTAGCGATGACTGGGCTGTTACTGTAGTCATACTGTAGCCATGGTGCCTCCTGCCCACCCGTGTCCCCGACCTCTGGCGCGCCCTTGGCGGGCGACACGAACGCCTGCGAGGCGAAGAGGCCGAAGGCGAGGGCGATCAAGACGGATGCACCACGGCGAGCCATGTCTGATGAGCGATTCGAGGAGACTCGCTTTGCTTTCGGGCGATTCGGAGCCTTGAGCAGAAACTCGGAAGTGACAGGCTCGCCATGCGAAAGCCAAGAGAGACGGCTTCCAAAAAGATACCAGAACCTGCTTGGTGATCAAAAAGGGGTGCAATCCTTCCGACACAATCAAACCCCACACACACAAGACCCCTGAACACTATAACAAGCTGCTCCAGGCAAGATTGGTCCACCAATAACTCAGGTATGTGACAGGACTGACTGACTCCATTGGCGTTGCTAAAGAAGCTTCCTCTCAAATGCCAGGTCTAACGGTCTGACTGTTTCTTGCCCCGACCCAACTCCTGGCTCCCGCAGGAACTGCATCTAACCCGTTCAGTGCAAGGAGCTGCATCAACTGCTCGACCACCGTCTCATTCAAAAGCTTGATGTGCGACCTCTCCCAGCATGCTATAACGAAGTGAGCAGGTGTGATTGGAGTATTGATCAATTTATATTTGTATTTTAACATGACCAGTTCTGGTACTTCTCGTCTGGCCGTACCATCACACAAAGACATGCTTAATGTCCACCTAGGATTAATAAACCAAGCTATCAGGCTTAACAAACCATAAACACAATAGTATAATGAAGCACTAAACTACCCGTAAATCGAGCTAAACATCCTCCCCCCAATCTTTTGTTGCTGATCTCTATTTTGTCCTTTCAAATCCCCCGACCACCTTTTGTCTTTGCTTGTCTCTGTATTGTGTGCTTTGCTGATTCAGCATCCTCCTTTGTCATCGCTGCGTCATTGGGATTGGATCATAATCCATCATAATCCTGTGTATGTTGATGATTTGTTCTTTCTTTGGCTCCTTCTTTGGATTCCTTCTGACTTCCTTTCCTATTCATTTCATCATCTGGAATCACAAAACCCGAAAACCTTCTGATGAAATTTCTCTAACCCTCCATGAAGCCACCATAGCTGAATTCAGTGGTACCCCTAAATAGAGCAAACTCAATTCCAGGAAAATTCACCTCCACCAATACTATCCCCTTTCATCTCAACCCCAGGAATCTCTTCAGGATTAGTGAATCTTGGGGTTAAGCTTATTTAGGTGCAACAGTGGGGGAGGTTCCCCGTTTATTGATCAGCAGTGCACATTTGGTGCAGGCATCCAAACCCAAAAGTAACTCACTACATCTCACTATTATCATTGTCATTACAGTATGAACTTACCGTCCAGTCGTCTTCTATCTGATTCTATCACCTACTGTAATCTAAGTAAATATATATATATATATCTGTGTGTGTACCTACCCTGCAGGCTGTGCTGCAACTGCCTCAGCGGCATAGCAGCTCAGAACGCAACAAGGAAAAGAACGATCAGCCAAAATGTAACAAGCACATCTCCAATTCCAATGAAGCACTGATTGAAGAACATCAGTTCCGCTAAGCATGAGCTTCCCCCCTTTTTTAGAAGTCTTCCGCAACGTCAAGGTCTTCACATCGTGGCTCCATGTCTTAGTAGTGGACGGGGTGGCCATCACGGTCTGAAGGACCTTCAACTGCACCTGGACGGTGGCGAGGCGAAGGGGTCTCAACCGATGCCCGGATGGGCGCTCGAAGGAACTGGGGCCACCATGGTTGACCCCTCTGAGGCTTGGACGGTCTCATCGCCGTTGGCTGCCTTACACGGCCCAAGAGGCTGCCCCTATCCAGGTCTTTTTTTGGAAAAATACACTATATATAATCCGGCAACCGTGAAAGCATTGAAGGTAACTCTCTCTATATATATATATATGTTATTGTAAGTTTGTGTGCTTGGCGCGCATCTTCTCTGGACATTCAGCCAGCTAGTACCCTCCTGGCAGGACATCCACAACAATAACAGATTCGTTTCCCGCCTGCTCTTTCATCAGGTTGACCACAATAGCTACTGACTCCTCCTTGAGGACTTCCCGGAGAATTAGCCTCCCAAAGCACTGCTCTGTCAACACAAGCGGAAAGGGACGCCTAGTTCCCCCTCTTCTCGGTCACCCCATGCTGCTTTTGTGACACCCAGCCTTTGAAGGCATGACAACGAGATCAAAACGATCTTGCTGTGAAAGGTCTCACAAGCCTCGGTCAAAGTCTCAGGTTTTAGGCCCGGGATTGCAAGATTAATGCTTACTGGCTTATAGGTTCAACCAATGCTAGCTAAACCTCCTCCTCCTCCTCCT